TAGCTGGTTCCATCATTGTGTTCCCAGTTGTGTACATACCCGTTGTGAACAAGTCGGTCTTCAAACATTCGGCTATCACATGGGAATGGGGTGTAGTGTTCGGAGCTGTCGTGATATACATTGCATTGGTAGAGAGCTGGAAGGCAATCAAACGGGCATTTGGCCTTGGGAGCGCCAGAACTAAGGTTTTGACGTTAGAAGAGGCAGAGATGAGAGAAGGGATGTTTCCAAGAGAAACGCCCGCATTGTCATCAAGATGTGAGACTGTGGAAAAGTAACCGGATGACGTAAACTAACCTCCCTAACTCTGAAAGAACAGAACGAATGGGAACGGGAGAATTCATTTGGAGGAATTCAAACGATCGCAAAATGCGAGTTTGAAAGAAAAAAAAAAAAAAAACACGATTCGAACGGCGCTATGTACGACGCTCTGAATCTGAATTATTCACTGCTTTTGTAGCCTGATTTTCCACCCAGTCAAACCCGATGGCACCCTTTCCCCACCTCCCTTATCTCCCTTAACCATGGATCACTCAATCCGTGGATTCGTTCACAATAATTACTTCTCAATTCCATTTTACACATTGACGCAGTGACCCTTTTTCCAGCGGAGCCTTTGCGCAACCTCTCTGCCGTTCCCTGCACTCACATTTTACAACAGCTATTTCGCTCCTTTAACACGTCGTCCAGCTTTCCGTTTCATTACTTTGTTACATTTGTTTTTAAAGATCGTAGTGGGATTGAATTCAACTTCATCGCACGCCTTTGGCGCCATGCCAGGTCCCCTTGTCCCTCACAACTGAACACCACGCATGCCCTGTAACCTGCGCTTGACCGGGTACTGGTATAGTACGATTTCGGCTTCCAAGGATAGCAATTCGGGAGGGGGTTAGAATGAGATGATAAGTTAAGTAGTGACGAGAGAAACTATTACACCTATCCCAAGCTGTGTTCAACACACAAGAGGCCACAATGAGATAGGTTGCTAAGCTATAATCCTATTCTTCATTCATATTCAGGATCGCTATTGCATTTTCAACGGTAGTTTTAATATATGGTAAACCAATTTTCTAAGCAGGAAAAAGACTGCGCGAAAATATAGAGCTTGGCAAAAGTTGTGCAGCAGAGTGTTCTAAGTAAAATACATGTTTGATGCTAGGAAACACGGAGATACAAAGATATTTGTACGATAGCATAATTGAGATGTCGCTGAGTTTTATCGCATCCGTATGTTATAGAAAAATAAAGATTGAAAAAGGGGAAGGAAGTGACATCGTTCTTTTCTATCATAGTGGTGTCTGCAGTCGTAAAATATACACATGAGTTGCCAGTTGTATTAGCACATGAGTATTAACAGAAGATTTAAAGAGTGGAAAAAAAAAAAAAGAAAAGAAAAGAAAAGGCAAAATCGCTAAAACGTCACGGACATAAGAATACATTCATCCAGAAAAAAAACTAATTGGTGAGATAAACTCCCTCCACTCGCTGCGTAGCCGTGATCTTTTTTTCTTTGTTATCCGCCCGTTCGTCTTCCTGGCTCAAACTTCCATACCCAGTGTCCGTGCTCTCCAAACTCTCACGACGCACATTCTCGACATTTTGCTGCGATTCTTCCCACCCTCCATCACCACTATGGTTTGTTCGACCCTCACTAGCGGTGGACTGGGTGATCTGGGAGCCTTGTGCGCTATTGTCAACAAGATGGCCTTCCCATTTTGTCTCAGCAGCTTCAATGTGAATGCCAACGCTCTGGCAGACATCGACGCATCCCTTGACAGCCTTCTCAGCTAATTCCATATCGAACCCGGAGGACACTGGGTTATAAGCGTTGCGAACCCAGTAAATAAGACCCGAGGCAATGCGGGCGAGATCAGGGGTCGGAAGAGGATGGCAATCAATATCGGATGATTCACCGTCCTGCCGGGCTGAGGAGGTATCGGATGAGGACGAGGATATGGGCGAAGAAAGAGAGGAGCCCAATACCATCCACGGCTCAGCTGCAACGATATGCAGGAGGTGGTATAACGATGCAAAGCCAAGAAGTGTAAGCTCGACGGGATCGACTGGGAGGATATTGAAGAGGGTAATTGCATTTTCAAGTGTCAACTGAGGGGAAGTGACTGGATTGGTGTCTACTTGGCCCCGCAGGATGGCTGCAATCATGGCGCAACGAACAGCAATGGATATCTCTGCCCTCGCCGATGGCGGGACGGACGAGTCCAGAAAATTAGTGCTGCTGATGGCTGATTGGCTTTTGGATCGTGGAAGAGCGGCGAGTGTAGTGTTGATATTTGCTACTCTGTCTTCGTCGAAGAAAACAGCTTTTATCACCGCAGCTCGTGTGTAAGCAGCTGATGCGATGGGTGCAACATTCAACGCCAGAGTTAGACCTTGTTCAAAGGCCTTTGTGCGTTGAGCGGACGGTTCAGCAGTATCGACATCAAGGCAATGGATCAATGCGTTCTGTAAGGCCCTGCTCGACCACCAAGCAGCAAGAGCATCAAGGGGTGAGCGTACAGCCGTATCTTCAACCACAATATCCAGCATGGCATCTTCACCATACGTAGCTTCCTGTGTACATCTGTTCCATGCCATGTTCGATGCTCGCTGAATGATTGCATCGGTCATGACATCGTCGATATTTGCGTCGAGCAGAGTGGCAAGGTGGTCTGGGAGAGAATCGTCATGATCTTTGGGCAGACTCTTTTGCAAATTTCTTGCTATCTCCCATTGATAGCTGGCCAGCAGAAAAGCAATGTGGTTTGAGAGCCTAAAGGCCCAAGAGCCCCGGGAACCCACCATCCAAAGTAAAAGACGACAGTGGAGAGCTTTTAACATTACCCGTGCTGGGGTTGACGGCAGAGTACCAGCGGCAAATATTGTCAGAACCATTCGGCTCTTGCTGACTTCTGGGTCCCCGCCTGTCAGTTGAGCGTCAATCGCGATGTCCCACGCCTTAGCCCTGGCCGTTTCATCTTCTTCCGTAATTCCTGTGAGCCAGGAATACAATTTCCAACCTAAAATGCAACTCAGGACATACTCCATGCAACGCCACGTTACTGCAAACCACTCCGGGAAAAAATTGTGACTGGGTACCCAGACGGTCTGGATGCTTGTAAGCCAGGCTTCCCGCCGGAACTCGATTGGCGAAACAGCAGCTGGGTTTCTTGAACCAGTGGTTGATTTTGCTGGGTGCTTCGCCCGCCTTGGAGCTGAATTGAATAGATAAAGAAAAACGGCAAAAGCGGCTCCAACTACGACTAGGGAAGTTAACGCGAAATGAGATAGGGCACGGATTTGCCAGGATGTTGTCGTTGGGAAGCAAAGATGCGTTTGACAAAACCGATGAATTTCGCCAGCAAATTGGAGCGGTATACCCAGCAAACCTTTCTCAGATGACTCTGACTTCTGGCTCTCAAAGCCGCCAACTATCATTAGAGCAGCCAGAGTGCCAAGCATAAACTTGTTGGGGATAATGGTCCCTTTCCTCTCAGAGGATGTATAGGTTGTGTTTGCATTTGGTCGTTGGATGAAAGAATCCGCATAGTGCGGTTGAGGGCCGGTCATTCGCATGCGTTTAAAGTACTCGGGGACTTTGATTAATCCTTCGGGCGGGTAGAGTGGATTGGGCGAGCTTTCGGGGGAAGTGTCTTCGTTTTGTGAAAAGACGCCGGGTGAAGACCCAGCGCCGGAGTCCGTAGAGACGGTGTAAGCGTCAGGTGATGATACGGAACCCGACGTAGATGCATAGTTCACCACGTTCTGTTCCTGGACTTTCTCTAACTGTCGAAGTCGATTTTTCAGTGCGACGTTTTCTTCCTCCAAGCGTTTATTCCGTAGCTCCAGATGGCGGATATACTCAGTGGCCTTGGACAGAATGGAAGCTTTGTTGAGCTTGTTAGATGATGACACGATCTCATCATCATCCTGAACCGCTTGGCAAGATATTCCACTTTTCTGTTTCGCAAGAGCTCGGAGGGACGGCACGCTGTCTCGCAATTCAGCGATTTTCTCGTTAAGATTGGCACGGTATCGTTTTTCAATCACGTTGTGTGACCGCTTCTTTGACGGCAAGTTCTTTGAAGAAGACACGGGAGAGTCGTCTGCGCCAGCTGAGCCCGGAGGCTCATCTGGTCGCGTCTTTCTTTTCCGATCCGTTATTGGGAAGGATGGCAATGGCGCAGAGGGCAAACTACACTTCTTCCCTTCTAGCGGTTGTTTCGAGCGATTGTTATCTGGAGGCAGAGGTATTGTTGCCCCAGATTTATTCCATCGCCCATCGGCCACCCCGGGGCTGAGGGCAGAATCAAAGAAGTCGGAGGGAGCAGGAGAGGTATCAGATACGCATGATGGTTCCTGAGGGCTGATGGTCTCACATATTGGTAATGAGCCTGCCGTAAATGTGAATGCGGAGTCAACAGGCGGAGGAGGGTCGAAACTTTTTAGAGGAAGGGTCTGGTTTGTGTCGATCGTCTTGATTTCTGTTTTCGGAGGCAAGCTGAAGAGATCCGTATGGCCTGATATATCATCAGACTCGAACCCGTCCCACTGCATCCATTGAGACCAGTCGGACGTGAGGGCCTGTCGGGGAGAGTTATTCGAAGAGATATCCGTCGATGGGCTCATGGACACTCTGAGAGGCGACTGCGAGAAGGACATGGCAATAATAAATAAAAAAGCACAAAAAATAAATAAATAAATAAATAAATAAAAGCTGGTTCCTTCCCACTTCGAAATAAGAGCATATGCTGACGATAAATGATCGACTCCTGTCAGTCAGTTTCCTCGTCTTTCGTAGCGTGTGAAGATGGGGCCGGATTGGCCGGCACCGCCCACGCCGTTTGTCCTTGTTCGACTTTTCCTTGTTCCCGGTAAGTTCAGGGAAAGAGGCGTGATCAAATTCCAAGGGCGGTTTGGAGAGATGGTTTGAACACCAAGGTACGAGTGGAGTCCGGGAACGAATGTTGACGACATGCACAAGCTGGCTGCAAAAAATAGCATCATACGACGTCGGCCGTCGGAGTTCCTTGTTGCGGGCGGCGGGCGGTGGGCGGTGGGTGGGTAGGGTGTTGGGTGTTGGGTGTTGGGTGTTGGGCGTTGGGCACGGGGGGTTGTTGGGCACGGGGGGGTTCTGGGTTCTGGGTACTGGGTGCTGGGGGGTACTGGGGTGCTGGGTACTGGGGTGCTGGGTACTGGGGGGCTGGGTACTGGGGTGCTGGGTGCTGGGGTGCTGGGTGCTGGGGTGCTGGGGTGCTGGGGTGCTGGGTGCCGGGTGCTGGGTGTTGGTACTGGGTACTGCCAGGATGTTGGGTGCTTGGGTGCTCTGTTGATTTCGAGCTTAGGCTGAGGCAACGCGTATCGGCCCCGTACCAAAAATACCGACCGCTAGTGCGGCTGCTTGTCTGTTCCCGGCCGCACGCAAAATACTAATTCCCTCCGCCTGTGGAGTTTATTTATAGTGAAGGGGCAGTTTCGTCGGAACCGAACCAAACAACTCCATTCTACGGAGGTTGAATCGTATGACACGTTTTCTCGCATCAACCTTTTTAGCGATTTGACTCTCAACTATCTGTTTGTTTTGTGTGCTTCTGCCCTGAGTGAACAGCTAACCCGCTCTACCCTCACTACGTACGTCGAAAATCTTGATTCGTTGCTTCGTGCTTGTCTGTCCTCGTCGCGGGAGGATCTAGATCATCTCCCCTCCCCCGTCTTCGCTTGCCGCGAGCTTGGGTGGTATCAGAAGGGGGGCTGAGAAAGGGGTTGGAGGTATGGGCAATATTTGTGGCGACCGGTTTATGCTGCTGAGAGAGAGAGAGAGAGAGAGAGAGAGAGAGAGAGAGACTGTTTCGAGTCCTCTCCGCGACCGATAGAGCGATTGTGTTGGGCTGTGCAAGACGCTCAGTCCAACCTGTTTCCCTCCCGCGCATGGTTGTTGGCCCCTCGCCACAATGCGCGTGATGACAAATATACCGCAAGACGATGTCCATAACTAGTTCACTTAGGTCAACTCCAGGTCGAATATCCATCCATACATGGAGGATTTATGGTTGGATTGGATGGCTTGATCGAGGGCTCGCTTATTGGCGTCGAGTCGTCGGATCCCCTTTCAGCGGTCGATAAATGGCTCGCGTGGTTTCTGTAACTCTTATATCCATCTGTCCAGTCAAAATTTTGCTGCCCAATCACCTTCGTCCGTTGTGATCCCTTTGACCTGCTATATACAATAAGAAGGCTCTTCAGAGCGCTGCAGAGGATTCCTGGTTTATCCCATTTTTCGTTTGGTCATCGGTCAACAGGCCGAAGACATCCTATCTGTACAAGATATAGTATCGATACGTCAACGAATCAATACTTTATATTACATCTGAAATCGTAAACAAGAACCCACCAAAGAATTGGAATTTTCTATCGATAAAATGTAGTCTATTTCTGTTCACTAACCATGTCAATATTTTCGAGTGACAAAACGTCTAATCTCTCTTCAACCAGCTACGATGCTTTTCTGTCCCCATCAACAACATCAATATCGACTCCCCCATCCCAGCCACATGTTTTTTACAACCCATCCTCATTGGCCGCGACCTCCGCCATGACGGTCCTGACAATCTTCTTCGCTGCTTCAGACGGCGGCTCGTAGGGCCGTCTAGGCCTCAACTTCTCCTCCGCCCCCTGAATACCCGCCTTCTTAGCCGAGAAAATTGCGGCCGCGTATTTGGTTGATGCTATCCCGGATTTGCACGGCGACTCCGCCAGGGCAGCAATCCTATGTAGCCGCAATGCCTCCTGCACATCCCCTGCTTTATACAAATCAAATATTCTCGATATCGTCTTGGGAAACACATTCGCAAACGCGGCAATGCACCCCGCAGATCCTACACTGAGCCCTCCGATCAAGAAATCGGACTGCCCACCAAACACCGCAAACTTATCCGGCGACAAGGATGCGGCCAGCCGCGTTATCTTCCCTACGCTGGCACAGGTGAGTTTCACACCGACTATATTCTCATTCTCTCTCGCGAGCGTCGTTATGAGATCGGAATCCAGATCGATGCCATTACACACCCCGGGGAAATTGTATATGACGACTGGCAGCGGCGACTTCGTAGCGACATCCGTGAAAAACGACTGGATCACTGACGTTGTCGTAGCCTTGCCAAAGTAGGCGGGCGGGAGAACTAGAACGTAATCCGCACCCGCATCTGCTGCGTCGCGGATATGCTCAAGCACTTGGCGCGTCGAATGCGCGCCCACCCCCGCCATGAGGGGGAAGTCGTGCCCGACAGCATCCCTTGCAGCGGCGATGAGTTGTGCGCGCTCTTCGCGCGTTAAGAGGAATGCCTCTGCGTTTGTGCCGAGGATGACGAGCCCGGCCAACCCTGACTGGGAGAGGTAGGTGTAATATTTCTTTTGGCTGGCGAGGTCGAGACTATCGGTTTCCGGGTCGAAGAAAGTCACGGCAGGGCACCAGACTCCCGACTTGGGCACTTTGGGAGCCATTAATCTGCCCCTTTTGACTTGTTGCTCTGAAGGGAAACAGCGGTATGTTCCCTATAATTCTGAGGAGTTTAATCGGGGGGGATTCGAGGATTTCCTTCTTCCGTCGCTGCCAGTGGCTTGCCGAATTTCTCAGAAATCTCTCTAAAACCCTGTCCGGTTCGGTTTTGGAGCCGAAGGTGGGGAACAAGGGCAGACCCCGCAATACCTTGATGAAAGCACCAGACATGCAACGTATTGCGGAAAACTGGTAAACCAGTTTACTGTTACATGACTCTTAGTCATAGACGCCAGCGTTGCGCCTTGAAGAACCGGGTTAAGGGAAAAACTTTCATTACGACTCCTAAACTTGCTATCTCAGACAGAGTTCGAGAAATTTTACTATCCGTTTGTTCCAATCCAAAGCCGATATCAAATCAACCGCGCTATTCGCCCCCTGCATATACCGTAACACAACAATTCAATTTTTGTTATACATACAGGAATCAGAGTCTTTCCTCAAGTAGCTTCGTGTCACTTATCAAAAAGATCACCACCACTCTTCCCCATACAGGACTTTCTATGAACCTTCCAGTGTGTGCGCTGACACTTTGACGAGCAATATCTCACCATGAGACATTGAGTGCACGACAGCAAAGCACGGCCATGGACAGATTTCTCCGCACCGCAGGCCTCACACTTGCTCTTCCGAAACTTGTCAACCTCTTCCAGACTGCATTTGGTGTCAGAGTATGGTAGAGTGAACAGAAGCGGCACCAAGCCGCGAACCGCATGTTTAGAAACCGCATCCCACATTTCGAGACCAGAAATGAAGCTTGGCGGGAGGATGCCGTTGCCGCAGGAACAGAGCACTGGCTTGTGGCCTTCGACGGACAGCGGGATTCGAGACTCAATTCTGTACTCGCAACTAGACTTGTGTTTCCAATCCTTGCAGCGTTCGACAAACGCTGGCAGGACGCGTTTCCATAATTTTAGCTCCCCTTCGTCCACTGCTATGGTAGCAAACTCGACCGTCTTTAAGCTTTTCACAAAGTCCCACATTTGCGGTCCCATCTCTGGAGGCAGGGTGATAATAGCGACATCGAGAGCCACAGTATGATTGGACATGTCAATGCGGATGGAGGAGTTGAAAAATAAGACCTGCAATCCGATTTTGTCGTTGCTTAGTCCAAACACTTTGCGCCTTGGTGCTTGGATCCCCGCGAACGACATGACCATAGAAAACAAAGTGTCCTTGAAACAAAGCCTAATGTTTTCGGCTGCCTTTGCACCATTCACATCTAGGCCGTGGCGCGCTCTACTCTCATTGACAGAGAACATCATGGAAGCGTGCGAAACCAGCCATCCTAAACACTCTGCGCCATTCGGATCCAAAGTGGGAAGACGGTTCGGGTTAAGGTATGGAATGTTCCAAACCATCGGCTCTCCGTTCTTGCCCAAGAAAGTTGGATAAACATAATCTGGAAACCCTTGACGATCGGGGTTTTCGGCCCTAAAGGCCACTATCTCCAGATAGGATGAGGTTCTCGCAACCCTAATCTTGGACTTTGCTCTGAGCACAGGAGCAGGAAAGGTAACAACAATTTCCAGGGATTTATTTTCGACAATTGCACCCAGAGAGCATGGGGACGGTTGAATAAGCTCGACCATTTTCTCACGCTTCAGGGCTTCCTTTGCTTCTGAAGAAAGGAAATCGATATGAGCAACAAATCCAGTGATGATTCCTTTTTCAACGCCAACCTCTGCCTTTAGTGTTGTGTGGAAAGCCGCATCTCCTGGGTTTTGTTGTGGTTCTTCTCCACCTCCTGGTGGCATAAATACACGCGGCATTCCGGCGTTGTTTGGTCGTTGCTTTGAGATATATACGGCGGATCCATTCCCAAGGTCAGCTGAAAAGACCGTAAGGTCCATTCCTAGTGTTTTCCCAAAAGTCATAGAGGCAAGCGGAGTGTTGTAAAGGGAAATGCCAACCATGGTGTTTTCTGGTTCCAGGAGCAGCATCCACGAAGGAACAATGAAGGACACAATAAGGGAACTCTTCCCTTTCCAGCCACTATGATCCTCGACCACAGTTACCGCAAAATCGTCGTTGTGTCTTGCGCCATAACCAACTACTTGTCCAAATCCAAGCTGCACAACTGCGAAAAGGTTCTTCCAAGCCATCCGTTTTGATATGAAACCGTTGATATACGGTGTTCCCAGTTTAGCACGAGAAAGCTTGGTGAAAATAGAGAGTTTTGCTCTTGGAACTTCCACCGTGACAGAAGCCAACTGAGGCATATCCTTCCACGCGCGGAAATCATGGGAGGTTCGGTTGTAAACAAGTTCTCTGGTAAGGGATGAGTTTGAATGCACTCCAAGAAGGTGGAGATGTGCAAACAACTCATGCATGAAATTTGGCCCAACCAGAAGAACTTTATCACCTTCAATCAACGTGATCAGCGTTGACATGGTCTTATCCCAATCAACATTGACGCGCTTTTGAACAAATTCAAGGAACCTAGCAAAGCTTCCGCGATGGTAACGAATACAGGAGTTTCTCTGAATCGTGTCCTGAGTTGGATTGCCTAAGGTCAATTTCACGTCCTCGTTCAAGTACATTTTCAGGTAGATGCTGAATAGAACCTGAGATAAGCCTTCCGGGTCGAAGTGGAGAAGTTGGCAGCTGCTGCTTCCAAGTGTATTCGTCGTAGGTGATTGATGCTTCCACATTGTTCTGCTGTAAATCCTGCGGGTGTTTACGACATGTCCCATTGGGCATTTGTGCATATCTTCTATAAATTGCTCCTCGGAATTCGCAACTGCGGAGGAATTTGTCCAGTATTGGACAGGGAAAACACCAAGTAATATCGACACCGTTGGAAAATGACCGGCGAAAAGGTCATCTAGCAGTAAGTCTACATCAGTTACCCACTTAACCAAGGACTCTGCATATATCGTGGATGATGTTTTTTTGTGAAGTAGCGGCCTTGCGGCGATGAAGATGTTTATACCACCAAGGTCGTCGATAAGGCTGGACGTGTCGATGACGTCGAAGGCCAAGGGAGCGGGGCCATTGGGCTCATAGTCCTCCGCATCTAAAATGAAAGTATCAAAATGGTACGGAGTTCGGAACCAATTCGCAGAAGTTTCTTTGGTGATCGTCATATGCTGCAGGGTATGGCAAAAAGCGAGAGCTTCCCCAGAAAAGAAACGAACGGTGCAAGATTCCTGCCCATCTTTGAATGACTGACACCATACTTTAAACTGAAGACGCGCTGTTTCTACTGCATGATGTGCATGACTATTAGCAGTTTCTTTGGGGCAAAATGGGGATTCTGAACCTATTGATGTATATGCAGTTACTAGGTGAAATCCGTGGAGTGGATCAATGTCATAATAAAGCATCGCAGGGTCATTTTCCAAAGGTGCCAGGGTGGGGTTGGCGTGCACATTTGAGGCTTTGGGATCATTTGAAGTGCTTCCGTTTTTCCAATAACGAGAGTGCAGACCGGGGAGATCTTTGATAGCCCCGGCTGCATTGGGAGCAGCAGAACGGGCCCCATTCACCTCTATCCCAGGTCCCAGGGTTGCAGCTTTCACTTCAAGGCAGGCTTGAATTGCATTTCGAAAACCAGTCACGTATAAGACCTTGTCTGAGGCGTGTATATATGAATACCAGACATCCCCCACAAGAGCAAGTGTCTTTGAGTCACAGAATCTCAGGAGACGTCCATACTTGCTCCTGTGCCAGTGCCTCAGAGATTTTGAAAGACGACATAATTTCTTGATTTGAGATTCAAGAAGACCAAGAGACTTATCATCAATAAACAAATGATAATAGATATTCCATAACAACAGGGTGTCCGTGTCTTCACAATCCAGTATCAAGGTGAAGAGTAAAACATTACGGGCTACAATGGCACTTAGCAGACAGACAATTGTCATCAGAAAAATAGGCTATAATTTACCTATAACTGCAGACTGGCTATCACAGCAAGTGAAATCAAGTGCGCGAGGTTCTTGTGTCGGGATTAGCCTTTGTGATAATCTTATTTGGAGACATCACTACATACCTGATGCGCTATTCATGAAGCAAGTGAACAGTATATGACGAACATCTCCGCAACCAAGAAGCAGAAGGCTTGCAGACTCGTCATAAGGGATATCCTGTGTCAGATTGAGAGCAGGGGTGCTGCCAATGGCATGAAAGAAAGAAAACAGATTAAGAGGAACAGGCGCAGCCATCTTCGAGTACTGCTAGTACTGCATATGCAGGACACAAAGAAAAAACTTCTTTAGAAGCTTATTAGGGAGGGGGGAACAACTGCCAAGAGTGTGAGAGGCGAAGGGCCCCGAGCTCGAGTGTAGGGTGTTGGCAGATGAGGATCTCAAGCTGCTGAGGATGAGCATTGTTTTGATGTGGTCGTCGTTGATGGGGCAGTCAACCAGAGATCCCACCACCACAACCCAACAACACATTGATTGACCCGAAGACATCTCTTTTTCTGTTGCTCGGGTTGCTGGAACATTCGATGATAAACTCAAGCGAGAGTCACCCGCTATTACACATTCACCAGGCACTTCCGGTGTTGATGGCTGGAATCCAGTCCATAATCAGTTTGTTTTGCAGGCTGCTTCATTGCGAAAATCAGTCCTTCAATCACCTTTCTCCTATAAAATCAGCCAGATCCTGATAATAAGCTGACCTTCCAATTCCCCTTTAACGTGTTCCTCGACTTTGGCATGCATGGAAGAACTGATTCATGCATGTTGCCTGATGGAGCTTTCTCTCATGTTGTAGCAGGAGGCGCAGTATCAAAATTTCATTTAGAGATTGGTTAAATGACTACTATCTAAGGTGTGACGCTAGGGCAACCTCCGCACCTCATTGGCTCTCAGGCACAATCGGCCGCAGGGGTTGAATATTCAGAGTGTTCAACAGGAACCCGATTCTATACATCATCGGAAGTAAACAAGAACAGAGTGTGCGGAAAGACTTAAAAAATAAATGGGAATTACTTAGTTGAAATAGCTCGGGGATTAACCCATGAGTTGATCAATTTTTCATGCAAGCTGTCCTCCATGCGGGTCCTGTATCTTTCAAACAGGACGGTCATCATGGCTATCAACAAGTGGATATCAAGATCGACATGATTCTGCTCTTTCAATATAAAAGAAGGCGCAAATGCTCAACTACTGGGCACAGTTGACCACTTCGGACTGATGAGAACCATCGGGACGCCTCCATGAAGTAACAACGGCCATGCGCTTGTGAGCTCAAGTTGAAGAAGCATGTTGTGACTATTGTCGGCACATTCATCCAGGGGCCAGCGGCTTTCCAGGGACTCGGTGAACATAATAAAGAGGACTAACGCAGTGATGACTATCAAGAATAATTTGCCGGGTTGAAATGTGTCCTAGATATCTTTCATTTTCTTCCCATTCAGTTTGACAGCCATCAAACTTTCTAAAATCTATCGATCTCTGATTGTCCGGCCACTGTATACGCAATCGTACATGCCATCGATAGCCATTTAGCTTGTCCATTTGTTACACCCGTTGCGGTTAGAGAGACTATAGACTCTATAGTGAACATGGAGCTGGCGAGAGTTCAAAAACTTTGACCGGCCTAGTGAGCTGGTTGTCGGAGTTAAGGGGTGGTGAGAAGATCCCCATCCCCAGCATGGCAAGGCAACCGTATCTCGATGACCCAAGAAGATGTAAGACTTGGGATGCGTATTTCCGCCTATCAACACTGAGTGTCTATTGGATTCTAAATGCTAGTTAAGTGGCTGTGATGCACTGCGTCGCTTAAAGATTGTCCGTATCTAGCAAAAAACCGATAAACTCATCCTCACGTTTCTGGTTTAGATTTACTTCATTCAGGTAATGAACAGATCCCAAAGTAGTGGACAACACGAATTAAATAAAACTTAAAACATACCATAATTGTCAATAAAACTGTCATCGGTTCTGTAGCCATATTCTGCCTTCAAGAAGGTAGTGGACTATCAGGAAACCAGCATTCCCTTATGGGTTCCATAGGCCCCATTGCTCAACTATTTAGCATGGCGGCCTTTCCCGATGTATTTAATCAAGGTACCACCGCGAATTCTGATGCCTGCACTAGTTCTTAGGATGGGGATTTCGCAAGGAGAAATGGCTGCATCTCGGAGCTTTTCAGAGCTTCTGTCAAGTCGCTTCTTTCTAGGTCACCGTGCTCTACGTTCTAGAATGAATCACATCCAACTAAGCAGCGTTACTGTCTTCATTCTACCTCCTGGCTTCCTCTCTTCGGCGGAATCCTAACATCACTGTACAACGGCTGGCTCGTCAGCGGGCAACATCACAGAACCTCTCCTTTTTAGCAAAGTAGATCCACCAGGTTGTCGTCCTGGTTTACACCAATATGCTAGGGATCTTTGTCGCTCTAGTGGGGGTTGTGCTCATAGAAGAAGGTAATTTGGTTTTGTAGAACAAGATTCAACGGAAGAAGCGGGCTGCAGGCGGGAAACGAGAGGTTGTGTAAAGATCGGTCAATGAAGGGTAAATATATGTTGGCGCTGATGAAACGTGAAAACGGTGTGATGCAGGATTCAGCAACTATTAGATCATTCTGGAGAGAATACTCTTTTGGGATGACTGATCAGGAGAACAATTGGTTTGTGCATATTTACTGATTTTGTGGTAAGTGGCCTTCCTGCGATTATTCCTTTCTATCCAAAACTACTTAATTATTTAGGTTATGTCCTCATCTAAGGACCTGGGATTAGAGTGTTAGGCAAAGCAAATGTGTGGGTAGATATTTGAGAGATTAAGATCTATATTTCATAAATATGCCAGAATAGACTTTTAGAGACTGTTTAGCCCCTGGCTTTCGTGTTGTAGAAATGAGGTAACTACATCTTCATGAGACTGAGAAAAATCTCCATTTAAAAGTACACCACAGCAAGTTGCAAAAGGTTACGCAGAATACATACGTTTCTTAACAATGCATAAAGCCTTCAGTCCAGGGCATAGATGTTGCCATTAACCTAGCTATTTATCATGTGCCTACAACCGAGTCCCATAAAATAAATAACAAAGAAAAAGCAACAAAACAGAAATATTCAACAAATGAAAATAATGACACGGTATATAGGTATCAGCAGTTAAGCCTCCCGTTAAACCATTGAGCCACCACCGACATAACAATTCCGACTCGCAAGCTCCATATTAACCGCCATCGCCAGCGCCGTCACCTCCCCATGCGTCTTCTCAAGTGTTGTCTCAGACTGGTCCGCACTCCCGATGAAATCCATATAAATCACATTCGGATACGAAAAGGGAGTGAAAGCGTGATACCCACGCCAGAAGAGAGGGTCATACCCCAACTCGATAGATTGGTCAGCAATAGTTCTTTCGAACACGCGTGAAAGCGTCAGGGTCCAGGAAAATATGTGGAAAGTGTCCTTTCGTTCAGTTGTGTCTGACACGATGTTGCGGTTTCCTTTGAGCTTGGCGAGTTGATCATCGGCCATGGCTGCGGGATCGTCGCTGTTGGAATAACTGTCATACCGTGGGAATTGGCGGTTTGAGTAAATCCCCTTTTGTGGGCGAGTAGGTCCTCCTGATGCAATGACAATGACGGCAGCTTCGCCAGCGCCAATGTAATCATTCATGGTCCTCTCGGTCAAATCCCCTTCAAGATTACCTTGAAGGTACTTAACGCCCTCGAATAAGTCGAAGGTTTTACTCCACTGTTCATCGTTAAAGGGTTTATAACCATTATCCGTGTCAAGGGTTAGGTCGAGGTTAATGATGATTAGTTCTGGATTCTCAGCAGTGAATCTGTAAAGTTCACATTATTAGTCAGGGTTAGAAACATAGAGTGCATCAATAAATTCCAACCTATTTATTCCGTCAACAATTTCCTGAATCGACTCCCCATTACCACCTTGCCATCCAATTCCAAGCACGTCTATGTAACTGTAATGGCCTGTGAGGTATTTTCCTCCGTTACCAATGGCAGGACGAACATCGAAATACCTAGATCCTCTTCTCAGCTGGTCATACACACTCAGATACTGAGTTAGGGTATTCCCTTCATCAGCAACTGAATTAGTTATCATTAGTGTCACAAGCTCGATTAAATGTTGTTTGGAGGAAGGGGGGACGAACATTGAGTGTGACCATCTAACTTCGACATTCCAGCATCATGGCTTCCAGGCATGCAGACATGCTTTACCTTTCGATCCCCAATAATATTTAGTATCGATGACATCCACGCAACGGGTGGGCTATGGCTCGACCAATACCCTTCCTTCTCGCTACCAGTCAACACCCAGTTAATCGCCCTCATGCCCCCATAACCTCCACGGGTACGATAGTCAAGAGAAGTACCCCTTTTGACGTCTTTGGTCTCTAAGCCATCGTACAAAACTCGAAGATGGAACGCATTTTCCGGGTCATCCTCATAAAATCTGGCCCAAATTTGAAAAGATTTGTCGGTTCCATCAATTTTGTAGTATGCCTCACCTTTGTCATCATATCTATTGGAAGCACGCGCAAATTTCCACTCACCTTGGATGGATTCTCCTACAACTTCTTAGCAAAATAATTCGTGCGGCTGGCCAACGACGGGGTTGACTTACCTGCAGGAACATCGTACCACTTCCACTGATCCAATTGATACGAATGGTTGTATGTGAGCATCCAGTTGTATGGAGATCCATTGACTAACGTAAAATATCCATGGTCAGATTTACCTGGCCGGCCCATGACAGGGATATCGGGGGGATATTTTCCTCCAGGGACGTCGACTTCCGGAGGGATGTTCGGACATTGACGTCCACTTTTGTCAGGACTTGTCGGTGTTGTGAGACCTCGGGCACCTCTGTTTTGGAAAGGATCAATAACGGTGACTTGGCTCCAATATGGGTGGTAGTCAACAGCCAGATTATCTTGAGAGGGGACTTGGGATCCGTCGGATGTGAGCATATTAGTAGCCCCAATAGTTATTAAATTGTGAATTCGAACACGAGGACCATTTCCTTTCAACTCTATCAAAGTGTTTTGGCAATTGCGCTTATCAACTGTACAGCATTCGAGTCGAAGTTAACAAATATGCAAATCCCCTTGAGATGCAATATATCAAGAAAGGGAGGACCTGTCCACGGCTCGGGTGTGCATTTACGTACCACACTCCTGTGTATAAGTGGTAAACCACGAATACAATCCAGCTCCCGCAATATAAGTCTGAGATGAGTTAATAATTCGGAGACCCCACGAAGCATCGCATCCCGGTGTACCATCACGGCAACCGCCAAAATCTGGATCACCAGGCAAGACGCCAATAGCACCTTCAAACGGTGCTGGTGGCTTGGGGGTTGGTTGATAGTATGGAGACTCAGTCTGTATCATGCCCGCAAAAACGTTCTTCGCCTTGTAAAAATTATACTGGTAGTAAACGGCATGCTCAGACGATGTGCCATACAGCCAGGTAGCTTCGGCACTCTCAACTAGTAAACCTCTGGCGGAGTAGACGGAAGTTTGAACCTGATACATAATGGATTCAGACACATGCTTGTATGTATCCAGAGGGTCAATATACCTACCATGGTATTGTTATCGTCTTGCAGATGTGGGTCATCAATATCATGATCTGCAACCCAAAGCCACACATTTTCCATGTATGCGGACGACGACTCTGTAATGTGCATCATAAGGCTGCCAGATTTGCAGTCATCACTATTCACGCCGTTCCTAATGGCAGGACACTCTGTTGATGTAAGTTTGGTTCCGCTAGCTCCCCCAATACGGACATGGGAATCTGTATGTGATTAGTTACGGCCTTAGCAGCAGTGCAGCCACAAAAGGGGAGAGAAGAAGAAGTTTTAACATACCCCACATGCCGGCAGATCCCGCACTTGAAGCTTTGATATTCCACTCTACTAAAACAGCTCCCGCAGTCGGTCCCTTTGTGGTAAAAAGCAAGTCCTGAATCTCCACTTCACCAGTATCGCCAGGCTTTCCGACCCGGACCAAAGGACGCGGCGCTCTATATATTGATGTAAGCAACTATATTCCGAAATCCATGGCCCAAAACCCTCCTCACCTTTCATCTTGGAAATTGGGGCCAGAGGCAACTAATTGGGACCACCCTTCTCCAACAATTCTTGCTCCAACTGGGATGGTGATTGTATCATTCAAGAGATATGAACCTGCGTCGACAAATATAATTCGGTCGGTAGAGTGTTCACGCAATACCCTCTGGAATGCTTCTGTGTCATCGGTAACACCGTCTCCTATTTTGGGGTTAGTAAATGGAAGAACACGAACAGCTGGAAGGAGAGAACCTTTTGCATAATCCTTCATGTGAACAAAATCTGAGACAGGAACTCCCTCATACTGAGGTCTGGGTCTCTCAAAGAAGGGTGCCTTAGGAAGAGGGGAAAGTCTATCTGCAAGTAAGGTCGACTCTCTTGAAGTATCAAAGCTCATTCCCAGGGTAAAATCTCTCTGGGAAGAATCAAAATACACCGGACCAAGAGCCCATGTATTAATGCTCCCAACGCTTCCAGCAAGATACACCTTGCCCTGGTTATCTGCGACAGCATTTCTCACTTTGTCGAAGGCAACATTGTCCAATGTTATTCCCGTGGTGCCCTTGGCCCTTTCTTGTTTTGCAGGAAACGTGAGGAGGGCAGTGTCAGTATTTCTAAAGATCGAATCTAAAACCATAATCGAGCCAGAGCGAGGAACATTATCCTCTGACATAAGCTTAAAGCCCGTAGTGGATCCTGTGATTTGGATGTTTTTCCAAATCTAGAATTCGGTTAGCCTCGTCGAACCTCTCACGTCTTACAATATTTCAATATCGGGTACATGTTGAGTGAGGTCATCATTTGCTTACCCATCCCCAGTCCCAAATTAGCTGAACTGCTGTCTTGCAATTTGTAAACTGAAGCCTTTGGGCTGTAAATTGCTGATTCCCGCCATCTACCTACTAATCAGAATGTCTTCGTTTATAAGATCAGGCTATGGCAGCACTCACAGATTCCAAAATTCCCGCCAGTGAACGTCAGATCACTTAAAACTCCGCCACTGCCATTCTCAGAGACTAATAGGGTCTAATTAGCATGTAGCAACAAATGTAGCCATCTCATGTAGCACTTACAAATGGCCTGCTGAGTGGTACCGGGGTTTGATGAAACTATAAAATCAATATTGGAAAGACTTGTGGCTTGAGCGACCTGATAATGAAGTGCAGCAATGTATGCTCCCTGATTGGTGGCAGTAATATCGAATCTGAAATTTCGGATCTGGCGATAAAAGTTGGCCTGTACAATGCGTCAACTCACGGGCAAATCACCTTGAGTTAAATATATATTGATGACCTTACCGTGTTGACATACCACTCTTTCGCATTGCCGTCTGTGCCATTTGCCCCATTCTCAACATAATGATTTGTTGAGAGCACACCAAGACCAATAAAAGAACTGGCAGCTTTGATAACAGGGCGGTCGTTTGCCTGGGTCTGTTAGAAGATTTCCGACATGATAGCCTCATTACTTACATTTCCAATTAGTTGGCTTCCGAAATAGGTCTCGATGGTGGAACTGACGAGGTAGGTTCCTTAATTATGTGATTAATATGTCAATATAATGGAAAATTAATGTGTTGGACTCACCGGAGGGGAAATAGACAATGCTATTCTTGGTGGTAGCGCCATTGCACTTCTCACCACATGTACCAGTGTCGGCGATTGCTCGCTTAATGGCCTCTGTATCATCCTATATAACATGATAAGCATACAATATATCCGCCAAGAACTAGTTTCACTTACATTAACCCCATTTCCAACAGCACCGTAATCTTTCACGTTACGGAAAACCTGAGGCCACCTATCAGACAATCGTTGAGGCCTTGATATTGACCGAAGCAAATCATACCTTGAAAGAACGATCATTCCCAAATGGCCAGGCTCCTTTCCTTTCTATATCTTCCATCCAGAAGGCATCTGCTCTCTTCACTACTGTACGGTTGTACATGACATCAATATAGGAGTAATCTGCTTTAGACTTGGACGAATCCCTGGCTTCAGCAACAGCCTCAACCTCAGCGATGAGAGCTGCAGCTGCTGCAATCTCCTTACTGATCTGGAAAAGGGGCGGTGGTGGGACATCTCCATTGGGTTCACCGCGACGGGAAGTCCTAGTTCCAGACTTGAGCTGATAGTGATTCCTCAAAGGATGCTCCAGTCGGGCCTTGTTAAGAGCAGAAGCCTCCTTAATAGCATCATTCACAATGCGCCTAGCCTCGTCGATGCCGAGCTGGTTAGCTTTCGCAACATTAGGGGGAAGTACAACATTCATCCCAAGTTGGTTCCTTGGCACAAGATCATGCATCTTGTTTTCATGCGCATTTCGCAGAGGATTAATCAAGACTGGGGACATGACTGAAGCCAAAATTTGAAGGGACAACAATGTCCAGATAAGCAATGCTTGCAAGAGCCCATGAAAGCGGGTCGCCATAACGGCGGTAGCAAGCTGATAGCACGGATATTATTGATTTAAAACACGCACGGGACACAGATTGGCCGATGCAGTGAGTTGTTTGAAAAAAGAGAGAACAACAGAACCGTATATGATATGTTCTGATATAAGAACAGATGAAAAGGAGAGTAAACCTCAAGGGAGGTCAGATTAGGCTTGGCGGAGTAAGTTGTACCTCATAAGCAATAGGTATCCAGGGCAGCGTAGGAGAGTCTTCCCAAAGGGGAGGGCGTAGTGGGAAAACAACCCTGCATCCTGGTATTACCAGCAGCTGCTATAGTGATCACCACTCTCACCTCCACCGTCGCTGTCATCTTCATAGTCGAAGGCATCGAGACCATGAACAGCTATCAGGGACAGATGTGTGGGAGATATGGAGATGACCAGTGTCGGTCTTGTGATGTACCATAGCCCACATCCCAGATTTTTATCTATTGCTTGACATGTCGCTCCCATTAAATCCCACATATTTGCAAATCTCACCTTGACAATTGAAGACATGTTGCACCATAGCACACAGAGCAAGCACATCTCATGTGAGATTTTCATGGAATTATTGGCTCGTTCTCACAGCATCTTGTTTTGTTCTTGGGAGGTATACTCCCGGGGGAAAAAAGGGGGGGAAGGGAATAAGTGCAATCCACCAATAGCTTTGCAAGTTAGCATTCCGGGCGCCCCTGTCACATCGCAGATCATCTTGCCACCAGCTGATTACTTTGAGCATGTATTATGTCATGGGACGGAGACTACAACCATACCAAACATACACGGATCAGTCATCATGATAATTTGTGTGCTTGAACTATGATGCAACATAACTGGTTGTGTTGGCCAGAGCCACATGGATCCGGACGCATGGCTCAAGAACAGCCGCGGGGAAGGTTGGGATGTGAGTACCGATATTGGAATATAGCGGGACATCGAACGAAGGTATGTCACCTGCAAAACTGAGATCCGAAAACAAATAACAAAAGAGAAAAGAAAAGAAAAGAAATTCGACCTAAGAAAATGAAAACGACGTCGACAAACACCTTCCGGAGACAATTTAGCACTTTTTAATGCCAACGTCGTGCGAAAAAAATAAAGGCCGCGAAGGAGCTTGAGCGTCAGGAACGCCTCTCGATTCTCCAAAGGAGTATGAGAAGATTTATCCTCTGACCCACGGTATTTCGTAGAGCCACACAAAACAGACTAGACAATTTTGCAAGTTTCATTCAAGCAGCCTTGAGATTTTGTCACCTTCTGATGTCTCTGGCTGGGAAGTGGTCATATTTCCATCCTTTCCCCTCTTGAAGTCTTGAGGTAGATATCTCCGCTGCGAAATAAGACCATGGGGAAAAAAGCGATTGATTGTCAGTCCTCTTGTTCATAAAAGAAAATTGTATTGGCCCCGGACATTTCGGCTATGCAAAATGATCCAAGGGTAGCTTAGCTGTCTTTGCGATTAAGCTCAAGATTTTCGGCTAGAATTGAAACCTTCCTTGCTGTAGGCAAAACGAGCTAAAAAAAACGAACGAACGAATGACGAACGAACGTAATCCATAAGCGAGTTCGACTTTTTCGACTTGTAGGGCGTAGGATGTTTAATAATCCCACCCAAAATAATCAGTTATTCTAAGTTTTAAACACATAGAATAGAATATACATTTGAAAAAGACAGAATTACCCATTGAGGCGGATGAGTTAGAGAATTGAAAATGGTTGAATTGGTTTCTTGCTTGCTTCGGGATTACGTTATATCAATTATGTTGATATTCAAATACATAGTGTAGTTGTTGAGATATCTATGATTGAAAAGGGTTGAGAAAGATGAGTCGTTGGGAGGTTGACCTCGTTAACTAAGCGAGCTGTTTAACCACCAGCCAAAGAGGACACCACCATATCCAGCCTATCTGCGGTTCATGGAATAGATCTTCTTCATACGTATTGTTGGATTCTTCGCTGGAAGATGAATTTGTTCGAAACAGCGTATGAGGAAATCAACCTCACGAGTTAGAGCGGAACAAGGATAATCCTGGAGTAAACTGTTTTGGTTACTTTATCTAACATTTACTGACAACCTTTCTTACATTTTTCAACTGAGCTTGAAATCCTGTTTCCACCTTAGATATAAAAGTATATGTATCTTGAACTGGGTCAAGAAGGAGATGGGATTTGCAGATTTCATCTTTACCTCCTTTCTCTCATGCTGTGAGAGTGAAATGCACATCAGAGTGCATTTACATGCTTTTTTCATCATGCTCTGAAAGATGAATATCTTCCTATATCAAAGGTCTTCGTCGTTGGCAAAATACTCGCATTCTTCTGGTTTTTATATGAATTGATTTATGTTGTTGAGATTATATTTTCATATAGTTGTTCAGGCAGCTACATATACTACTCTTGAACATTTTGTGTTATTATCTCATGAGAGCCTGGATGATTCTTACTTCAATCAATGCAAGTGCATACTGAACTTCACCTTTTCAACTATAAAACCCCTTCAGGCTCTCTGTTTCCAACTCTCCCAGGCTCAATCTGGAACTCCTCCAAATGTAGGACAGCTCTACCTATCTTCAAAAATGGCTACGGAGAGATACATTCCCCCCATGCTTCGCAGCAAGGCGGAACTCAATCAACAAGATAGACCAGAACAACCAGTACAACTGTCAGAGCCATCGGCTGCAACCTACAAGCTCAGAGACATCGATGCATATTATGGCCACTTCCATTGGAACTACTTTCGCAACCGCATTCGCAAGGACTAGAATATAAATCCTTTTTACAGGCTCATCCAAAAGGAGGAGCCTCCTCCCCATCAGCCCACCCATGCGCAACCCTCAGCGCCTCCGCAGAAGAGCCAGAAACACTGGCATACATAATTCTCTTCGACCGAGAACACCCATACTGGGAAACCAAGCGCGAAGTCTTCTGCAATGAAAACCTCCATCTTCTCCCTTCGTCGTTCACGGAACCAGCTGTAAACACAAACCCTTGTCCTGGCACCAGCGCCCCAAATGACAATAAACAACAGTACCACTTCCAACAGTAACGAAACAACCCACACTTACACCACTAGCTACCCAATCTTCGTCCAGCATCCAGATTCTGGCCAACGCCAAAACACCCGCTCCGTCAACGCCTTTGCGGGCTACTACGTTATCTGCGCTATTCGCTATCTTAGAGCCACATAGCCGTCAACTCGCTTGGTACTTAGAGATGAAGTTTGGAACCGACTCTAGGAATCCGGAGAAGTGGATTGAAAAGTTCTCGCAGTTCTGGACGGTCGTTACGATGGTTCTGGATACACATCATGAAGGGGAAGGGGGCAGAGCACCACCACCACCTATTGTTGATCTTGAGGCCGAGGCTGCGGCCGAGAAACGGACTGTCAATGAGATTTTGGGGGAGATGTGGGGCGGGGAACGAGGGGAGTTGAGAGACTTTGTGGGTTGGTGTTTTGGAGGGGATTGAAAATTAATTGGGGTATTGATTATCTAGGTTGCTGATGGCATAGTTTGTGCAGTAAAATGAAGGGACATTCATATTAACTGAGCAGAGTGTTACAAGGAGCAAACTTGGAAGGTACCCTGCAAATACTGTCATTTGAAAACGAAGTATGAAAGAGGTGGTTCAGGACTGTCAACATTGTGAGAAGCTCGGAAAATTAATCAGTTTAATGTGTGTTATTGCCTCTCTCCTTCTGTCGGTCATCATATCCATGACTCCGCTAGGCCCAACTCCACGTCAATGAAACCGTCGAAGTCCTTGCTTGTCATTCTTCCTTGATGGTTGGAGAATCGAAAAAGTCAACCTGCATGAAAGAAATGAGTTCAATGATTACACACCGGCAATGTCTACACGCGGTGAGTTTGATGATTGAAGGATCCCAGACCCTGAAAATTGATCTCTCCAACTCCATTTCTTGCCCGCAGCGACATGCTTTAAAAGCATGTTAATATTGCTTTGCCTTCAGATGAGGAAATGTTTTGACATAAGATGATTGAGTAGGATCAGATCAACAGCATTAATGCAGAAGCACTTGCACTGACACCAGCAACCCACTTGATCATCAACCCTACATAAAATTCTTCCCTGTGATAGATTGACAAGAATTGCCTGAGTAGCAACGTGAGAAATTACAACAATGAGCGAGATCCATATTAACATACAACAACGGTGTCCAAATGAAAATTAAATCCGATTCCCACGCGAAAATACGAATCGTTCCACGGTTAAGCTCGCAATATGATATCATGTTAGCAGGACGCTAGCATCTACATAAACTAGCCTAAAAGTCCAGAAATTCAGCAATCTTATTGGATTGAGAAAATGAAAACCATCGGCGCTGGTTGTTAAAGATCGTTTGGCAGGATACACCACACATGCGTCCTCTGACTGGCTGTGGTTGGAAGCCTGCTCAGTGGTAAATCATGAATTTATTGGGCACAATCTACAAGGCACGGAGGAAGGAGTGGTTAGCTGCAAGCAGAACAGAATCATTGACTGAATCCTGAACGAGTTGATTTAAATCTATCTTTTCTTCAAATGATATCTGTTGTTCAACCATGGAACCAAGTATGTGCTCATGCGCGGGACATGCTGTGTCAATAATGATCCTATCACTAACTATTTCATTACAATAATAATACGAGATCGGTTGTGGTAATAGGCGTTGTTACACATATTCTGAACTCTGTTCTCTGTAATTGTTGTCATGCTTCAACAGCTCCGTGTTATCCGTCTACCCATCCACACGAAACAATGTAGGGATGTGATCATTCGACTTACAGCAAGTACAAGACTGAAAAAAAGGGAAACGAAAAAGTTTCTGATCAGCCTTTTATCAATACATCAATAATCGAAGCCGCGGTTACCTGACGGCAAACACACTACGCCTGCAACAGAAATTGCTGTTGATAGATAATGAAACCCCCTCTGAGCTAAAGCTAGCTGTCTTGCCATCGATGCAGGGAAACAGGGAGATAGTGTGGGCCTTTAGGCCTGATAAGTAGCAGTGTGAACAATTGCGAGCGCATGCATGCTGTTCTACCACGAAGGACAATAATGCCGTCCACATGACTGATTCAAAGGAATGGAACCTGATGACATCCAGTTTATGCAATGGTTCCCCTTTGAACAGCTGTCAGTGTCAGTGTCAGTGTCAGTCGGAGCGAAGGTCAATCGTTGGATTTGTCAGAGAACATTGAAGTTGAGTTAAGCGATCAGTCAGCCACTGTTGGCAGATGATAGTTCACCTTCCACCTTCAGCTCGTCGCAGCGCTGCAGAAGTGGAGAAGGACATTGGAAATGCCCGAAGTTATTAGGAACCTCAATTATTTCATGAACATTTACCCTGTTACAATATCCTGGATGAATTAGATATGGGGAGATTTATCGCGCCTTAAGTCCTGTATCCCCTATCGTCCGCGGTCACCAGCTAAACCCTCACCAAAGAACTTATAGTCATTATTTTCAAGTCACAGCTAATGCCCAGAACCTCGATTTCTTGGAGACGTTGAGCTGTACGCACACACAGCATTTTGGTTTCTCCAGGCGATACCGAACCACACCAAAACGAGGTCTTCCGTTTGCCCTTGTTTGTACTAGTGAGGCCCGCTCCATGTATGGAGATTTTTGCATGGTGGAAGTTAGTTCAGCCATCTCCAGCGCCACAAGCGATAGCAAGTGCTTTGACCCTTCGGGCACGCTGTTCCAAGATGCGGGATTGGGATCCACTATTATTTTGAGCCTTCTGATCCAAAGGGACCTCCTCTGTCTGTGGACGAGAAAATGATAGCGGAGACACTCCCCATAATTGATTTTTGAGCATCTGTTGTGGGCCAAAGGGAAAAGGAGTGAGACGTTTCATCCATGGGTGATTGCGAATAACTGATATCTACAGAGTACAAAGGTACGGATCTATGGAATTTACGGTTGACCATGGTTAGTGTGCAGGATAATAACAATTAAGCTCTTTTTATCATAATTTATTGAACAGTTCCTGGATATGCGGAGTAGTAAGGAGCATGAATAATAATAAACAATGAACTGTATCCATGTATGAGAGAGATAATTTGAGGAAATTAGAAAAGAGAAGAGAAGAGACAGGAGATTTCCAGCCGCAACTTTCTAAATGTGAACCCATTCTCATATCCGCCCTTGGTCCCCTGGGTTAACAATTGCTCCGTCCGCTCATCTAAAACATATTCTGGTCCTTGCATCCTGAAAATTGTCCTCGTTCGTATCTACGGATGCTCAGAGTATACATGTCAATGTTGCTTGTTTTGTATGCTGATGGTGGAAGGGTCCAGACTGAAACCCGGAACCGTGAATCTGCAGTGACGTCATCCGTTGCCCATAAGAACATATATATATATATGTAAAAAAAAAACTTTTTTTCTTTTTGATTATCTTCTCCTGAATCCGGAGCCCTGACCCAACTGAGCCAGTCGCACTCCGGCACCGACAAACTTACTGCACACCCCACCCCAAGGTTTCGCCAAATCAGAGAAGAATGCGTGGAATTGGTAGTGGTACCTAGCCTTGGCATCGTCATAAATAAACCAGATCAATTTTACCCCATTTTTTGTATGTGTGTTTTATGTTTACTGGCTGTTTGTGCCTGACATTGCATCTAAGTTACTACCCCACAGATCTACTTGTTTTCTCGGCTTATGTACTTATCTTCTCAGCTTAAAGTTAGTGTTAAGGGGGATTAACTATTAAAAAAGGCCCTCGCTATCCCCTGGTTGCCGGCGTTCCCCTCTTTTCTACTTCATAGTCCCATCCATATATATCTTTCTTCCCTTCATTCCTTTAGGTTTTTATTAATTATATTAACTGAATTTTCGTCCATTATCGATCTCGTCTTCTTCCTCCTCCTTCTGACCAACACCGGAGTTTTTTAAGTTTCAACATCTTTTGACTTCTCCCACCCAAGACGTCTTATAATCTCCCCAATTTGTCGGCCAAATTCGAGGCATTTCCAATACAAACCAACCTCTTACATCTTTCTAACCGTCTGACTTCCCAAAAAGCAAGCGCTTTCACCAGACCTGCTGTTCCTCAACAGTGAGGCGTCATGTTGAGTGATCCCTCGACTATCTCATACATATACTCGCAACCCGCTTTCTCAAAACATGTCTCCCTCTCTCCGGCCCAATTCTTCTCCTCCCTCCTTTTCCCACTCCCGTGTGTCACCCAAACCGAAACAGCACATCCACCTGGGCAATCTGCCACGCTTCCACCCGGCGGTCTACCAATCTACCTCAAATAACTCCCATAGACCTCCATCACCCCTTCAACAACGTCCCACACAACCATATCGAATCCCCCCCGGCTCCCGAGATGCCCTGCGCCAATACTGCGATTTCGTTGCAGGTGTCTCCCTCAACCCTCGCAACTCGTCATCGAGTGCCAGCATGAAACCTTCAAAACCACGACTTGATCCGCTTGGCAGTCCTGGGCCCGTTACGCCTCTAGCGTTGGAGGAGGAGAACAAGGGCGGTTATTTCGATGCTGGGAGTGCCAATTCCCCAGATTGCTCTGGGACTGTATCTCCGCAAAAATTGGTCGAGAAGCTCATTCAGCAGGACTCGGAGAGGTTGGGGTCCCAAGACTCCTCGAGGAAGGAGAATAAAGTATTGTAGTCATGGAGACAACAGTCTCTGATTCCTTGCTACCAACACGGACTACCAGCCTGCACCACCGCAGCGTCTCAGAGGGGCTCCCTTGCCTTTAAATCAAGTTGCTTCGTAAACCGCGCCAACTTCAGGCCAACTCCACGTCTACTCTCTCGATTTGCTTTCCAAAATGAAAGAGCGAACAGAAATCGAATATAGAGAAGCCAGTCCAATTGCTGACGCATAGCACCAATATGTCATCTTGATTTCTTTCTGCTCTGTGTCGCCTTGAGTATCTGTGATTTTGGTTACCACGTACCAGTTATGGGAGCTGGGCACTCCATAGCTTGCGTAACGTGACGAAAATGACGAAAACACTTCCATCCATTATATTCTGCAAAAAACAAACAGGAATATTAGAGCAAAAGCCTACAGACAAAAGGGAAGGGATAGGGATAAACAGGAGGGTGGCTTTTTTTTTTTTGCATATTTATTTGTATCCTCCGCCTAGTCCCCTACTTTGACCTGACTGCTCATCTAGAACTGCATACATTCGGATTCCTGATGCACAAGCAAATGACCTGATCCATCATGAGTTGTCTCCCTTTACACCTCTGTTTCCCTTGCCTAACATCTTTGATATTATTCCCTCCGGCTATGATCAAGTATTATGAGCTCTCTTCTCCATCCCTCGCTTTTTGTCTGACAGTTAGCTGCATTGATTTCCTTCTGAGTTGCGTATACCCTCGCTTTTGTACTTCGGTGTACTTTTGTTTCAATTTCATCCATGTCAATTTACGTGTGTACGTGAACATATAGGCGCCTATTTGATCCTAAGATTCGTTCTTACACATTGGATTCTTGATTCATCTCTAGATATTCATGCAGATCAGCAACGGCAACAATGTTACTCTCTCCACCGTATTCAAAATCCCACTGCATGTAAAACATAGCTTGAAGTTTAAAAATGTTTCGTTTCGTCTTCTCCACATTTATCTCCTAATTGTTTCCTGTTCCCCTTTTTTCATCCGTCATCCATCGATCAAACCCACCCTTTGGCAGACTGCACATCAACCCAATCAGTTTGGCAACACGGCAGTCATTGCCCCGTTCATCATAACTTGTCCTCGGAACTACTCAACAACTGGTACCGCCTCGTGGGTCCCTTTATCGTCATATGTCTCCACCCTCACACCAAAGATACTGCAGATCCCACATCGCCATGTTTCAGCCGGTAAGTCCGAACGATTTGAAAACAAAATAAAAGAAATTAATCTAAACAAAAAGCGGGAAAATCAAAACGAAAATCACACTGGTGCCCCCGGCCAGGATCGAACTGGCGGCCTTGAGATCGCTCTGATAGTTATTGCTACCTGATCATATTTTATGAATATGAGACTCACGTGATAACCAACTACACCACAGAGGCTTGTGATGTCGTCTATTAGAAGCGAACTTCACCGCTTTTATATTCCACCATTGATCCTCCAGGCTCCCAAAGGGACGACGTTGTATTCCAAAGAGATAATCATCCTTATGGCATTGCCAGGATTTGTATCACTCGTGTGCCGGGATGACTGGGAGGGCAGTCTTAGGCGGCTATCTATATATCCTTGCTTTAAATATTCCACGAGGGACAGACATTTTATCATTAGTTATACGTCCGCACACTCTCCCAATCAAAATACGGTTCCAGCGAATCCATTTTTCTTTTTACCGTTCAATACCGCGTCGATCCCCATCTGTTGCTGAACAGGATACTCTCTGACCATTCTGAAGGAAGTTCCGATGAACATCCCATAGCCTCCTGACTTGCCTGGCTTTGAGTTTGAAATGGCAGCTGAGTCGGTCTGCCCTATTCACTTCTACAGATTCTCACTGTTCGCTGGCAGGGGGTGATGGGTGCAATTGATGTGTATCTAACTAGGTCAGTATTTACTACTGATGAATTTACCTGCTGTTGTCCGTTTATCTGTCTGCATATCTACCCGGATAATTACAACCCGCATATTCTCGGCCTCCGACGCTGGGTGCGTACGTATGCCTCTATACATCTACATCCTTAAGTTTGTGCGTATATTGTAGTTCTATAGATGGTGGGTCGATTTCGTCGCCATTCGAATAAACAAACTCAATGAAATAAGCCAATTGCGTTCGGGTTTCGTTTAAACATATACCCAATCGTCTATATTGGAACCATTCTTCCTCCCAGACCCGTTCAAGCAGATTGAACCATTGTCATCCATCAACGTATCCATGTTGTAAAATACCGCTTCTCCCTTTCCCCAGCTCTATTGGTTTCTCAGTCAGAAGCTTTGGCCTCCAATCTAGTGAATCGACCCCAATAACACTGTTGTGGGCGCCCATTCCACCTAACACACAATCCAACTTCCTGTAGTACCCGCACAATCACCATAGCCACACCTACAGTGTCCATCCAAACCCACATTGCTCACAATTCTATACCTCAAACACAGCCCAACTCCATCCCAGCTCTCTCCGCTTCCTGCATGTTAAAAAAAACCGCACCCTATGACACTATCCCTTGCCTCACCCTGCATCTGAAAGTCCCCGGATTGCGTCTTGTAGCAAAAGTTCATACGCGCCATAACTAAACCTCCAGCTCTCTTCCAGAAATTCAAAGGCATGCTTGGCACTTTGGAAACCTGTGTCCACATCTGGGGCCATGCTTCTTGCTCGCCGAGGCATGTCTGCCAGAACTTGTCGATTATAGGGCGTTTCCCCAATGACACACAGATTATCTTGGGTGTACTGTTGGTGGACGAAGAGGTTGGAAGTTTCATCAAGGAGCTCTGATTTTTGGTGAAGGCCGCTGTATTGATTATGACCAGGTGCTCTTGACGATGACATAATAGAATGCGTCATCGTCAAGGAGTTTGGGGAGAATTGATGATTGCATAGCTCTATCAAGGTGAGGAATAGAGGATAAGATGAACGTGGATGTGTTGGGTGAATTCCGTAGTACCTAGCCCTAGAGATTATCTTAGGTCTCACAGGGTGAATTTGAATTATAAAGGGATAAATATGCTCCGTATAGTTACGGGGGCGAAATATTTCGAAAACTTTCAATGCTATCCTTTCCCGCTAGATGGGAAGGATATGCGTAGTTTTAAGAGAACTTACGCCTTTGACCCAATAACTCATAACATACATATTGCTTGCTAAGTTCAGACATACCCTTCAAAAGAGAGAATATGGCCGTGCTGCTGCTCCACCAACGCCGGCACACAGACGGATGTTCAACGCTTTTGCAACCGAATCCAGCCAAATTTAGAATTCCCATGGATGCAGTCTATCCCCGCAGCATACCATCTTTGAAGATTGGTAAGATTGAATCAATTGCTATGCTGATAATCGACTCTTGGATATAAATGGTATTTAATTCTGGCTCTTAAAGATCTTAAGTCTGTCTTGAAAAGAGCCTGGAAAAATGTTGTGCATCACATGATAAAATCTGCATAAATATGAGCGCTTCTCCCGAGGCCCGAACAACCTGAACTCCAAAAAAAAAAAATTACTCGAGACAAATCAAACTTCTCCATGGAAGCAAGACGGATGATTTCAGTAGATATACGGAGTATATACAGGCAAAATGTGGGTTAATATCCGATAGTGTCGCTGCTTGCCAAATATATGTTCAGTTACGGAGGAGTATAACGCTCTAAAAACAAGGGTTGGTTTGCAGGGCATCAATTGCAAGGCTGGAGCTGGAAATTTAACCCCTGGTATCGAACGGATTGGAGTCTTCTCGTCAGTTTCAACTAATTGAGGATCCATTAATAAAAGTGCGAGTGAAAGAATTCTCTTATATGAATTTGTTTCAGGACCTTCTGCATCTACACTGCTGTCGGTGTTTCGAGGAACAACAATTCGTATCTGCCACCTTTTGCTGTAGCTGGAAGTGTCGGTTAGGGGCTGGGGGATGGGGGCAGGGGATATCGCAGGTAAGGGAGGGACTAGCAGCGCCTTTCGGAAACCGGGGACAGCGAAGCCAAGAGAGAACCAGCATTACAGCGGGTTTGTGGCCGGTGGGTTTTCTGGCATTGCGAAATTGATTGGTGAGTAGGTTCCGTACTTGCGACTGCATCCGAGCCCTTTTCTTTGACGATATGTCGATATAATTGCTGGGACATAATTAAGATGTCGATGTGGCCATTGAGGAAGATACTTTCCTGGTTGGAGATGCTTGTCATTTTTGAAATACAGCTGTTGCTGTTAAGTTTGAAAATCTCGATTGCTATTGGGGTTCTAACGGGGTCATTCTTTTGTGCTCGGTATTTTACGCAGTTGGACATCCGTATGTCAATATTATTATTATTATTATTATTTTTCTCTCTCTAATCCCAAATCTGTGTTACTAACAATCAAAAACTTATTCTACATACTCATTTTCTGTGGTGTCAAATGACTGACAATCAATGTGCAGATTCGATACAATCAAGGTTCGGCTTCAGACGACAAAATCCACGCATTTCAAGGGACCCTTAGACTGTCTGCTACAGACTGTAGGGAATGAGGGCATTAGAGCCTTGTACAAAGGGGCATCACCACCCTTGATGGGATGGATGGTAATGGATTCTGTGTTAGTCATCTGATGCGTGCCCATTATGACTATTTCCACTCGGACTCATCTAATTCTGACCTAGGATGCTCGGATCGTTGACTCTTTATCGACGTCTCCTTTTTGAGCATGTCTTTGCTAACCACCAAATACGACGTCTAATACCTTTTGCTTCAAAGGAAGTTCCAGACCGCCTACCAACCTTTGGTCACAGCCTTGCCGGTGTCATGGCGGGCTCGACGGTGAGTTTCATAGCGGCACCGGTTGAACATGTCAAAGCACGACTGCAGGTCCAGTATGCGGCGGATAAGAGAAATCGTTTATATAGCGGACCGATTGATTGCGCAACAAAGATTGTGAGGGTGTTTTTTTTTTTTATTTTTTCAATTTTTTTCCCTTCAGCCTTTACACTCTCTATGCATCCTGAAGACCTGAATGTCCCGATTAATCATGATATTTCATAGCTTCGCGCACATGGCCTCCCAGGGCTCTATCATGGGCTTTGCGCTACTTTGCTGTTCCGCTCGTTTTTCTTCTTCTGGTGGGGCTCTTATGACATTTTCTCCCGACTCATGAAAGAGCATACCCAACTTTCCACTCCAGCCATTAACTTTTGGGCGGGTGGGCTGTCGGCGCAGATGTTTTGGATAACATCGTATCCTTCCGATGTAGTGAAGCAGCGAATAATGACAGATCCGTTGGGAGGGAAGCTGGGCGACGGCGAAAGGAAGTTTCACCGATGGGGGGATGCAGCAATAGCAGTAGGCAAAGAGAGTGGGTGGAGAGGATACTGGCGGGGTTTCCTGCCGTGCTTTCTGAGGGCGTTCCCGGCAAACGCGATGGCGTTGGTGGCCTTTGAGGGAGTGATGAGATACTTGAGATAGGTTGGGAATCGAATCAATTGCGGGGTAAGGACAATTTTGCATTATTTATTCGTGATAGATTGATACAACATAAAGGTGGATACTTTCAAGTCCCCAGCATGTGCATGTAACATTGTGTTTAATTATTACACTTATTTATGATCAGCAATTTATATATATGAATTATATATATCTTGATGTTTTTTTTTTTTTTTTTGAAATATTTTTTGCAGTTATAATATATCAAACTTATATAGTTATATTGTTTGATTTTTATCATTAATAATAATTCTTAAATCTGTTTATTTTCTCAGCTATAATTATTACTAAAGTTGCTATAATGACATTATTAAAAATTATATAAAATATTTTATTTATCAAATATCACTTATAAAAGAGTTATAAATCCTCTCATAAACTTACTAATAGTTATATATATAAGAATTTAATCTCTAGCTAATTCAGAGTACTGTTGAATAAATTTATTAACTTTGTTAAATTTTATAATATTAAAAGTACAGTCTTTTTATTTTACAAGTAACTAGTTAGTAAATAACATAATTAATTCATAACTAGTTAGTTAATGTAATTTTCAAAATAAGTGAATTATCAATTCAAAATATTATTTTATTTAACTTCTTATTCATCTCAACACACAATTATACCATCAATTTGCAATAAAAACACTTCAAATTCTTTTTGAAAAGAGGGAAGGCTTGAACTTATGATAAATGCTTTAAAAAAACAAGAAATATTCTTATTTCATGAAGTTGCACATGTATTTAAAATGTCATTCTCTACTATAAATTATCAATTTAATGGCTAAACTGCTTATATGAATCTATATATAAATTCAACTAAATTAACCCAGGCTGAAGAGAATAGAATAGTTGAATGAGTGCTGAATTAAGCTAAATGAGAATTTTCCCCAGTCAGCATTTGTTGAAAATACAGTTAATTATCTTCATAGTATATGAAATTTCATCATCTTCATTACTATCCCCCTTCGCGTTAGCAAGAACTGAGTGTTATATCTAGTGATACATCATTCAAAGCTTCAGACTCACAACTTCAGATGCTATAATTGTGATGATGTTGACTACAGCACTGACTACTGCATTATGATAATGTATGACTACTGGATTACAAAAACTGACATGTTTGAAAAGAGTAATAGTAAAAACCTAGAAACAAGCTCTGTAAACAACTACTTTGTAAACAAATACCTTACAAAAACTGCCTAGCAATGGCATAGCAATTACTAATGAATAGAAGTATATATAGAGACTTCTCCAGACTTTTATTACATAGAGTATTTTAATATTTTATTGAATTAACTTATAAAGTTGACAATTGAATATCTGTTTATCAGCATCAAGATTGAAGTCATAACAATAATAATAACTAAGATAAATGTGAGAATATAAAAATTATTTAAACTTGATTTAAAGTCTTAAAGACTGCAATTACTGAGTATATAATTCTGTTAAAGAATTTATACAACTTTGATAAGATTGATTTTATAATAAAACTGTATCTTCTACTAAAATTTTTACTAATAGTGAATGCTATAGCTGAGTAAAGCTTCTACAGTTTAGAAATTAGAAAAAAGTGAATGTATTTAAATTAATTAATATATTAGAATAAACTATATCTATTTATATTTAATATAAATAAAATAGAGAAGTAAATGTAAAATAAATTTAAATATAATAAATATAAATTTTAATTTTAATATATAGAAAATTTAATTAAAAATAAAACTTAAAATTTTATTATTTTATTTAATATATTCATTAAATATATAGTTATTTAAATTTATAAATTTTTATTTTATTATCAAGTTTTATAATACTTATAATAATTATAATATTTAAATAAATAAAAATAAAATATTTTTAATTTAATATAATTTAATTTAAAATTTAATTAATTAAAATATAGTAATTTTATAAATTAATTAAATTTATTATTAAATTTTAAATATTTTTTAACTTTTTAATTAAAATATTTTAAATTATAAAAATATTATTAATTATTTTTAATTTTTAATTTTTATTTAAATAAAATAAAATAAATATTAAATTTAATTTTATATTATTTAAAGCTTTAATATTATTATTTTTATTATTATAATTATAATTAAATTAAATATAAAAATATTAAAATTATTTAAAAATAATTTAAATTTTAAAATATATTTTATTTAAATATAAAATTTAAATAAAATTTATATATAATTTTAATTATATTAAATTAAATCATTTAATAATTAAATATATAATTTAAAACTTTTATTTTTTAGTTAATTAATTTAACAACTTTAAATTATTTTAAATTTTATAATTATCTAATAAATAATTTTTATTAATTATATTAATAAATAAAATAGTTAATTAATTGAATTTAATAATATTATAAATTAAAGATTTAAAAATTTT